CATTAGCTCTAGAACCAGAAGTAGCTGCTATAGCTGCACAGTATTATTCACTAGTATCAGGGTCCCCTCCACAGAGATATATGGTAGTTGATATAGGAGGAGGTACAGTTGATATTACTGTACATGATAAGAGTAATGGGAGAATTAGTGTAGTACTACCACCAATGGGGAACACCTGGGGAGGTATTACTGTCAATGAAGCATTTTCAGAATTACTAGAAGAAGCAGTAGATGATAAAGGATTCACGATTTTGTCAAAATCCAATGATTCCAATCCCATTTTTGCCAAAGCTACACTAAATAGAATATTTTACGAAAAGTTTGAAGAGCAAAAAAAAATATTTGGAAATGCGACACCAGGTCTCAGTAGAGTAAGATTTTCAATGCCAAAGGCTTTTACCAAGCAGTATGACAATGATATTCCTAAAAAATCAAGGAAGATACATTATGATCCAGAAAATGAGTCATTAACCATAGGATACGACCTATTGGAGGAGGTATTCCAATTCACAATAAATAAAATCCTTGAATGTGTGAGAACAGCACTTGATGAGGTTAAGTCTGATGGAATCGATACAGTATATCTAGTAGGAGGGTTTGGAGGGTGTAAGTTTGTTAGTGAAAGGATAAAAGTAGCTATCGCTGAGCATTGTGGTATTCTTTATGATAACATAGAGTGTCCTGTACAACCAGATCTTGCTGTTGTAGTAGGAGCAGTAATGTGGAGGAAAGATCTTAACATAATCCAATCACGTGTTGCTGATGCTACCTATGGGGTAGGATGTGCTCCTGAATTTGACCCATCAATACATGATGAGCATTACAAGTTTGTAGATGAAGATGGTGTTCTACGTTGTAACAATGTCTTTGAGGTATTTGTGCTCAAAGGAGAAGAGATAAAGGATGAAGTATACAAAACCACACTAATACCTGCTTCTCAAAGCAGCACACAAACTTCTATCCCTATATACTGTACAACAGATGATGGAGTTCAGTATACAAGGGATAAAAAAGGTAAACCAACAGTACGTGAGATTGGCCAGCTAATACTTGATATTCCTAATCCTGAAAATCTACCAAGAAAAGAGAGAGGGTTTGACGTATTTATGGATTTCAGTGGTACAGAGATACAAGCAAGAGCTCAGTATCGTATCACTGGAGAAGAAGTGAAAACAGTTTGTGACTTTCTATCAAAACAAGACTAATTAAAATTCTAGCAAGAGAATAATAATACATGTAATGTAGTATAGAATAGCATTAGTAATAGATACATGAACCAAATGCAGTATTATTAACAGAGTGACTTTTGTGTTTATTTAATTTTGAACCTTATATTAGTATTAGTAATAGTATTAACATTAATAAAGTGGCTTTTGTTTGCATTCCACAAATTGTTTTAATTAATTTTGCTATTTGATAAGCAACAATATTCATTTTTCAATTGAATTTTACGCGTGAACAGAATAAAATAAAATACACAAAAAACTATAGCAATTATATTTTTACTTACTATAATTACTATTAACAACTAATAATTACATGTACTAATAACTACCAATAACTATTAGCCAATATTAATAACTTTTCTAATAGCTATTAATAACTATTAATAACCACTAATAACTATTAATAACTCACAAGTTAAGGAACATGAGGTAATCATAATTAGATATTTCTCCAGTTTGCCACTTCTGAGTAGCATCAGTCAGATCAGGAACCTGTAGGGACACACCCTTCACCCCCACCAACTTATCATAGAGACTGTTCCTCTTTGACGTGGAGGAGAGGACCAGAAATATACTCTGACCCCCTCGGGAGAATAATTCCAGACCCTATGGGACAATATAAACTAACTGGTGAATGGAGAAATGTTTAAAATTTCATTTATTAATTAAATAGAGGAGTGACGTACATGTACATGTACAAATTAACATGTATAGTTTCATACCATGTACCGTTTAATTTTACGGTAAAAATTTTTCGCGAACCTTGCATTT